ATATGGGGAAATCAAGAAAATTTCATTGTTAAGATACTTAACAACACCCCTTTTTTATCATAAATTTTCCATTTACCATGAAATTTGCTGTTTTGTACAACATAAATCAAGGTAAATTTATTGTAGACGTAACCTCGGACGTAACAATATAAATCATTGTTAAGACAATAATTTTTGTCTTATTGTTACATTGTTTTTTATTGTATTTTTGTTGTTATTTTTTTTCGGGGGTACTCAACCGTCATGTTCTGACCGTCAGGAACTTTTAACTTATTTTTGGATGAAAATCATAGCAAGGTGCGCTTCCTTTGATGCTGTCATTTTTGTGTGCTCCATCGCCTTCGTTCGTGCTCCATTATTGCATTCGATTGATCGTTAGGTAATTTTCACTCAATGGATTATTGATCAGGATTACTCAAACTTTAGTTTTCATCATTAATTTAATTTTACGTATAGCCCCATTGAGTTCTCCAAGCAGGATCTCACGAACACTACACTAATAATATAATTTTACACACACTAGCGTATACTGTCATGTGCACGGTAAGAATCAAATTGCATTGCATAACCCATTGTCAATAAAATTGGCACTGCTAATTAATGAGTAATTTATTATACCAATTAAGTACTAACTGTTAGCTTCTGTTGGCAGAAACTCATTGTTGTTAAAATAATTTACTCATTAATGAGTAAAGCCACTTTTATTAAAAATGGGTTAACTTTTACTCATAAAAGGGCATTTGACTGTTACCGTGCAAGCGTAGGGTTTGTTTTAGTTTTGTTGTTTATTTTTACTTTAGAATGACAGTTCTTACAGCAAACAACAAAATTCTCACAGTTAACAAAAAATTTCATCTCACTTGTCGTGACGCTTGGTTGATTTTCCGGCCATCTTCATCGCGGAGCAAAAACAGCACACGTCCGCGTGCCAAAACAATAGTTAACGGAATGCCGTTCGGATCTTTTCGTTTGTAACTTAACCCTACGCGACGACCAAACGCTCTCCCAAACACTCAGCGTATTCTCGGTGCCTCTCTCAATTTTGCACCCGATCGAATGATTCTCTCATATTTTGCTCCCGAAGCTCAGATTCTTCGGCAACAAGTGACCGAACTCTAGCAAGCGCGGTAACGAGATTCTTTTTTTTCCTTTATTATCACACGCACACACTCTCAGCACTCTCAACACTCACATTCTCTAGGTAATTGTAAAATCCGACACGAAGAGACGTTCGGAATACCCCAGCTGGAGGATTATTTCACTCTCGCTCTCACTTTTTTTTAACACTGAAAGATTTTTGTTTTCATTTTACCTTTATCCACTACATTATTTTCCGCCTCTACTCTGATTATTCCATGAAATAGTCAAATTCAATGATTTTTTTATGCATATATTTTTAGATTACATTTTGACAATGTCTACAGTTATTATCTCTACGTTTTCACTCAAAGACGCTATAAATGTAGTCACTGTTGTATCTAGCAGGTTTTTTTAGATTTGACCGACTACGAAGATTCGTGTCCGATGACATATGAGGGCTATTTCTACTAGAACCTGCTGCAAAATCCGGCGATAGGTTATCAGCTGATACAGCCACCGAGCTATCCGGCAATTCCTTAAAGTCCAACGATCCATGACTTTCCATAAATGAAGCTCTTTTAACATCCTGTATGTTTCGTGCGTATTGAATGCCATTTTGACTCACGATCACTACTTTAGCTCCCTGTCTTGCAACAACAGTATATCGTTCTGAAGAAAAAACTGGGTCGGTCTTAGCCTTCCTTTGCTGACTCAGATGAACAACATCGCCAACACCAATATCAGAGGCTTTTGCGCCTCTAGTCTTATCTGCGTGTTGCTTGCTTAGTAGTTTTTGTTCTGCGTCTTTCTCCCGTGCATCAATACGATCCAAATCGCGATTGGATGGACTTCCCCACAAACTAGGGAAAGTTCCCCGAAACTTCCAACCAACCATCATTTCAAAAGGTGTGATGTTCAATCTAGCGTGCGGGACCAGAGTGTTATGATTATGTACGTACTTTTCCAAAGCTCTCCTCCAGTTGGAACCATCAATCTTGGACGCAGCTACCGCTTTGATAAGGCCCTGGTTCTGTCTTTCTACTGCTCCGTTAGACTGTGGACTCAGAGGTACTGCTTTTCGAACTCTCACGCCTTTTTCCTCCCAAAATGTACAAAAAGAAGAACTTTGGAATGGGGGTCCATTATCGCTCTGGATGATTCGTGGCACGCCCCAACGCTTGAAAATTTCACATAGCGCTGCATTTGTACACTCAGCGTTTGTCCGGCGCATTTCGACTACTGAAAGAAAACGTGAATATATGTCCACAACAACCAGAAATTCACCTGAACCACATCCAGGAATTTCAAGGAAATCAATCTGAATGACTTCCCAAGGCGCATCTGGCAGTTCCCGAGAAGAAAGTGGTACCGGACGATTTTTCCTGGCTAGCTGGCAACAAGTTGAACATTGTTTTACAAACTGTTCGGTTTCAGTGGCCATTCCTGGCCACCAAAAAAACTCCCGCATTATCCTCTTCATCGCGACTTCTCCTATATGCCCAGCATGCGCGGATACGAGAGCTTTCGTTCGCAACGCAGTTGGTAAAATGATTTTGTCACCGTTGAAAATTAAGTATCCAAGATAGTGCAGTGTTTTTTTCTGAGCTTCATACCTGCGCAATTCTCGTGGCCATTTTCCGTATTTCAAAGCCTTCCGCAGTCTCTTAAGTTCCTCGTCATCCTCCGACTGAACTTCGATATCTCCTAATGTGATGTCCATACACCCTGCGTCCAATGAAAACAAATAATGGCCTTCACTATCGTCTTCAAATGGTGTTGCTTCCTGGGATGCTTCAATCAGTCTTGATAAAGCATCCGCAATGTTTTCAGATCCGGGTACTCTTTTTATTGCGAAATCGTATGGCTGGAGACGGAGTGACCAGGCTTCTGCTCGCGATACAGCTCGTTTTCCAATTCGATGGCCACTTTGAAAGATAAATTCATTTGCCTCGGCATCCGTTCGAACGACAAAAGAAATTCCTAGTACATGAAAATGTAACTAAGTATTGGACATATATGCATCAATGGATTTTAAATTAATGTTACCTGTCAGATAGAATGTAAACCGTTCAACTCCCCAGACAACGGCAAGCGCTTCTTTGTGCGTATGAGGGTATTTTTGTTCAGTAGACGTTAACGACTTAGATGCACATGCTATGATTCGTGGAACGTCATTCTTGTTGAACTGAATTAAAACCGCCCCAAGCCCTATTGCAGAGGCATCCACGAATAATTCAGTTCTATCCGTAGCACAAAAATAGCCCAACCTTTTGATGGCATTCGCAGCTCGGTTTTGTAAACTTACAAACTCCTGTTCTTCCTTCGACGTCCAGTAGAATACATCAGCGTTAGCCAATGCACGAAGTCGTTCAGTTTTTGTAGCACGATCCAAAATAAACTTGTCGATATAGGTAATAAGCCCAAGGAAGCTTTTTACTTCAGAGCACGTTTCAGGTCTCCGAAAATTTTGGATTGCGCTCAACTTTTCATCCTCAATCTGCCATCCACTCGGCGTTAAAATGAATCCAAGAAATTTCACAGATTGGCTAGCAAAGATACATTTTGAGGTATTAATCTTCACGTTATGTTCATCGAGACAGGCTAACACTGCAGCTAAATTCGTGTCGTGTTCTTCTTTAGTTTTGCCATGAACAATAATATCGTCCAGATAATTTTTAACTCCTTTGCAACCGCCTAGAATCTTTCTCTGCAACACCTCCTGAAAGATGTCTGGCGCATTGCAGAGCCCAAAGGGCAGTCTGACATAACGGAACATACCAAACTCCGTGAAAAAGTTGGTCAAATGACGACTGTTCTCATGTAATTCTATGTGGAAAAAGGCATTCGAAAGATCTATTGTCGAAAACCAGTTAGACCCGTTCAGATCTACCAGGATTTTTTCCAATGTTGGCATGCTAAACGGTGTTCTGTTAATGTAGCGGTTTGGACCACGCAAATCAATAACGAGCCGAATATCATCTCGTCCTTTGGGCACCACCAACATGGATGAACAGAATGAGGTGTCCATGTCTTCGGTGACTCTCTCTATGATATTGGCTGAAATCAAGTGCTGAAGTCTCTGCTCGACTAAAGGTTTCACGGCAGGTGGAATGTTCATGAATATGTTCCTACATGGAGGCCTCGTCTTGTCGTAGCTAATTTCGACTGGTGAAATGTTGAACTTAGGGAAAGTCTCGTTTGCTTCAATGATAGATATTTCTCTCACTGCGTTCCACAAAGGAAACCGTGAATTTTCTAGTGACACTGGCACTTGCAATCCAAGCAGAAGGATACTATATCGAGTTGCTGTTTGTCTGCTTAAAAGAGATCGGCACTCTTTCACAACGAAAAACTTTTCCAATAGGATTGGTCGATCTTCAGATACGTATAGGAATGCTTCGAACGTATACAGCACTTTTATCTCCCCGGCTGAAGCATAAGCCTTAAGGGATCGATCGGATCGTTCTTGAATATTGTATAACCCTTCCTTGTATTGTTGGTTTCCATTAAGTACCTTAAATGATTGTTCAGTCAAGGTGTTAACCTGAGCACCAGAATCAATCAGGAATTCACAACTCATCCCTGCCACCTTAGCACTTATTACTCCGCAATCTTGTGAATTTCTTGTAACAGCGATCGAAACACCAAAACACGGCAGTATGTGTTTTTCTGTTATCTGGTAAATAAACATCAATGTTACGGAGCGGAAATTTCAAATTTTTATATGAATTCAAGTCATAACACTTTAAACTAATGAAATACCGTATGAATGAAGACTTAGGACTTTTTTTCTACTTGTTAAATAATAATTCATCAAGTCCAATTTTATATTTATTGTTTCATCAAAAGAAAATTACATCGAATTCAACGTTAACGTAACTTCATAGAGTATTTCAGGAGTGTATGAAATGAAGATTTAATCAATATTTATTGTCACCTACATCATCTTCGGTTGGTCTCTCTTCCTCCTTTGCGTTTCCTTCCATGTCCACCATTGCAATCTTCTTTGCTTCAACGTACGAACTGTCTGCTTCACCCACACGCTTGTTTCCCGTCCGGATTAATGTCTTGCAGGCTCGCTTGAAATGACCTTTGCGTCCACACTTCAAGCAGGTTTTATCAATCGCACTGCAATCATTCGGCCTGTGAAACACACTGTTGCACCTGAAACAACGTTCTCCTCCAGAATTTTTCCACCCAGGTGTCACAGGTCGGCTAGGAACCAGTTCGTCTCTACGTCGAAACTGTTGATTTCCGAATCGTCCGCGGCTCGTCAAGTCTCGAGTGAAATCCTGACGGTCGCTTCTTCCTTGACCCACGCTCACCGAAGCGACTGTAGCTTGTTTTACCGTTCCATGTCTAAGGCGATAATATTCCTCGTTCATGTTGACAGCTTGAATTTGACGAACTTTGTCAACCAAATCCGCCAGCGTTCCTTTACGACTAAGCATCTTGAGTGCCATTGTTCGCACTTCCTTATTTCTCGCGTGTTCTGCAACGGTGCTCACGATCTCCTCAAATTCCTTCCCGTCACCAAACTCACACATCCTGGCCATGGCACCGACCCTCATGATGAAAGACAAATCGGATTCATCCGGTTTTTGGATCATCAATGCCAGTTTGCGACGCTGTAACATGATGTCCGACCCGGACCCGAAATATGTCTTCAATCGGTGCATGGCGTTCGTGAATGGATGGGCTTCGGGATCTGGAGCATCAACCATCGTCGTCGTATTTTTGTAGATTTCCATTAACTTGAAGCCTGCTTTGACTTTGAACACTATGAACTTGGTTGGCTCATCAGTTATGCCAGCGAGTGTCATTGAGTCGAGTAATAAATCCTTCCATGATTCGAACTCAAACTTTCCTATCTCTTCACCTTCTACAGACGACTTGCATTCCGGAACATTGACGGTGGAAATCGAAATTTGGTTAACCGACGACATGAAGCGGGAAACTTCCATGGTGGTCTCACCACCACCGCTGCCATTGCGTTGCGTACTTGAAGGACCAATTTCACCCGCAAATTCAACGCTGTTTACTTCAACCACATTATTCTTATTTGCACTCAACGTCGTCTGCAGCGAAATGATTGTCTCCTGAGCTTTTTCCAGTTGTCCACACATTTCCACAACTTTGGCATTCGATACCGCGAGCTCTTTCAATGCCATGTCGAGTTTCGAATTTTTCTTCTTTGTTTTCCTGTAATCCATAACACAAAAGAAAGACAAATGCTGGTGTCAACTTCATTCTTTAATTTTTTTTCCGCACATTTAATCTTGTACTTGACATGTGAATGATTTTAATGATTCGTTTTTCTGTGCACTCAATAATTTTTTTTTTTTATCATGCCACCTTCCACTCCGTTTTTTTTTTTTTTTTTAGTAATTTTCATACATATTTTTTTCCAATTCCTTCCACTTTTTTTTTTCCTTTACCATGAGACCTACCGCTCTTTATTTTTGGATTTTTTTTTATTCTTTACGTGCCTGGAGACCTATCGCTTCCTTTTGTTCTGGCATATCTTTTTTTTTTCTTGCCATGAGACCTACCGCTCTTTTTGTTTTTGGCCATTTTTTTTGTTTACATGCCTGGAGACCTATCGCTCCCTTTTATTTTGGCATATATTTTTAGATTTCGTTTTAACAATGTCTCAATATACTTACCGATTGGGAGCGTCTTCAACCACGCCATTGTCGTGACGCTTGGTTGATTTTCCGGCCATCTTCATCGCGGAGCAAAAACAGCACACGTCCGCGTGCCAAAACAATAGTTAACGGAATGCCGTTCGGATCTTTTCGTTTGTAACTTAACCCTACGCGACGACCAAACGCTCTCCCAAACACTCAGCGTATTCTCGGTGCCTCTCTCAATTTTGCACCCGATCGAATGATTCTCTCATATTTTGCTCCCGAAGCTCAGATTCTTCGGCAACAAGTGACCGAACTCTAGCAAGCGCGGTAACGAGATTCTTTTTTTTCCTTTATTATCACACGCACACACTCTCAGCACTCTCAACACTCACATTCTCTAGGTAATTGTAAAATCCGACACGAAGAGACGTTCGGAATACCCCAGCTGGAGGATTATTTCACTCTCGCTCTCACTTTTTTTTAACACTGAAAGATTTTTGTTTTCATTTTACCTTTATCCACTACATCACTAACACACGCAAATCGCACCACTACGAACCCACCTGGAGAGGACTATGGAAGCCACATGATAAGTGAATGTGAACTAAATTTTTACATTAACTTTAAAGTACCCATTATTGGGTAAAAAATACTCATTTGAATAAAAGAAAAGTTGCTAACTCATTATATTAGCATTTTTTATTCATTAATGGGTAACAGATACTCATAAATCCCGACCAACCGTTCGTGAAACTTCTTCAAAGTTCTTTATACATAAATTAAGATTTATGTCGGAAATTCTTTACGTTAAATTTTCTAAGATTAGGATGTACACATTTAAAAATCTTTATTGGTCAATATACTTACATTTAAGATTATTTCTTCATCGGTCTATCGGTAATCTATAAAGGTGCCATACTAAATTTCTTTTAATTTCGATATGTCACATGGACTTTAGTATTCTTTACAAATATTCATCAATAAATATTTAAATACTGATATAATCGTAACTTTGAACTTTGACAAAGAACAACTAAGATTGCCATCGATGCACATTTATAATCTCCTTGTTATCGATTTGCATCGCTGGTTAAAGAGAGTTCGAGACACACCAGATGACAGATGGCAATGTTTATATTATTTATCGACATATTCGGCATTTCATCGGAAGAAGAAATCTGCCGGTAAATGAACGAGAAGACCGATAGCCGCGACGCAGCAAATGTTTACCATTGTAGTTCTTCAAGTTTACGTCTATATATTTAATAACCCGTGATAGCATGCTTGGTGGGATTCTCGGTATTTGGAACCCAATGAGGAAAATTGATACATTTTTGTCCTCTATGACTGACTGGTTGATTGTTATGACAAATAAATATTGTATCCATGTATGAAAAAATTTACAGAAATTTCAATAGAGTGTGTTTGCCTGTCGTTGATAAGCTCATCAACAGCAGCCGTGGACCCGAGGATTAGCAACCAGCAACGAAATCAGTACACCCCAGATGGCATGGGATCGAAACTAGAAATTATGCAGATAAAAAATCACAAATAAAATCAGCAGTTGTATATCGATATTTTGATTTTACAACAGAAATCGATATTTTGAGCTGGCAACACAATCGATATTTTAACATTGGTAACGATTGGTAGCAATATTTTGAGAAAGATCTTTATAAACGATTCACGATTAGACTTTTAGCATCTTTACAATTATTCATGAAATGGTGACGATCACTATCGATTTTTCTTATGAATGGCTTTGAAGATCGATGTATAGAAAATTAAAGAAAATTAATGAAATGGTTGGGATAGTTCTTCTATTCTCGACACACAAAAAATTCCACAAATTTTTATTGACGAATTTTCATGTGAAATTCCAAATGATTTTCACACATAAGTAGAATCCTCTCAGAAGTACAAATGAAATTTATGTGTCAAATAAATAGCATGTGTGGTCACACATGGCTTTTATGTGCACACATATTAAGTATGTGTCCAACACATAGAGATCATTTGTTGATCACATTGCAAAAATTCATGTGTGAGGCACATAAAAACCATCTTTGAAATTTTCTTAGTGCACGAGTGCCAACTTTGAATTGCCAATTGGCAATCTAACACGCAGAAAAAACTATCGTGGAAACAAAAATATTTGAAGTAAATTTAAACGTAAACGCAGTTTGTTCTGGCCACAAAAATAAATTAGGTTGATTTCAAACGTATTCCATGTTTGAAGTCATGTGAAATCAACACGGACAGAAACAAAGCAGTTCTTGTTGTTTGCTCTAAGAAAGTTGGGTAGGACGAGTTTTCCACTTCCATCTTATGAATCGCGTTGTATGCTAATTAATTTAGATGAGCTCAAAAAGCGAAGAGAGTTCGCAATGATTGCTTTTATAAACGATGTGATTTCGCAAAGAGTTCACATTTTGGAAAATATCAATTTCAATTCCGCTCACTGCGGAATAGAAATTTTTTTAGCACCAACAATCAAGGAACAGACTATGCCAAAAACAGCCCACTGAATAGAATGATGTCTTGCTATAATACATACTGTGAATATATTGACATAACAATGAATAAAAGTAAAGGGTGTCCACGATGAAATTGCCACACTATGAAATTGCTCTAACTTTTTAACCGTTGGGTAGAATTTAATGAAAATTTGGGTGGATTTAGTTCATAGTGCATTATTTACATCCTGCAAGTTTTAAAGTCCTGTGATCAAAACTCGCGGAAATGGAGTCGAAAGAACAGCTCGTGCGTGATAAAATCTTGCGCATTCATCACGAGAACAAGGATCTCTCGCATCGTTCCATCGCTAAAACGTTGGGAATCGCGAATTCCACGGTGTCGCGAGTGATTAAGCGGTTCGAGGAACGGTTGACCACCCTAATAAAAATTGTATGGTTAATTTGCTTAACGACGTGTTCTGGGTATCATCCAAACCATTTGTGGAATAGTTCAATGATTTGGGTTATCGTTCGTTTATGGTTATTTTTTATTAGGGCACCGATCGGAAGCCCAGAAGTGAAGGCAAAAGTATTCCGTACAACACCAAAAATCACAACCGCATAGTTGGGGCCTTCAACCGAAATCCGAACGCCTCCGTTAGGGATGTGGCTAAGAAGCTGCACCTAAGCCGAAGTTTTGTCCAGAAGGCCAAAACTAAGGCTGGGCTTCGAACGTTCAAGGTACAAAAGGCCCCTAATCGCGACGAGAAGCAGAACAAGTCCGCCAAAACCCGTGCCAGGAAGTTGTACCTCAACATGCTGACGAAAGTTGAATGCTGCATCATGGACGACGAAACATATGTGAAGGCCGACTTCAAACAGATCCCCGGTAACCTGTTTTTCACGGCCAAGGATAAGTTCAGCGTTCAACGAGCATGTCCGCACTCAGAAGATGTCCAAATTTGCGAAGAAATTCCTGGTTTGGCAAGCCATCTGCACGTGCGGGAAGCGGAGTGCACCTTTCGTGACCCAGGACACGATGAACGGACAGGTGTACATAAAAGAGTGCCTCCAGAAGTGGCTGCTTCCTCTCCTGAAGGCCCACAACGTCCCAACAATCTTCTGGCCGGATTTGGCCTCATGCCACTACTCCAAGGACGTGCTGAAGTGGTATGCGGACGAAAATGTTCAACCCTCCCAACACTCCGGAGCTCCGCCCCATCGAGAAGTACTGGGCGATTATGAAGCAGCACCTTCTTAAACGACCTAAGGTAGTGAAGACAGTCGAGGAACTGAAGAAAGTATGGGTTTACATGCAAAAAACGGTTGATTCACAGGTTGTGCAGAATCTTATGGCCGGGGTTAAGGCCAAGGTGCGGACATTCACTTTAACCTACTTTTGACTAGTTTGTCTCCTTTCCTCCTTCTAATGTTTTCAAAAACGGAGGAGCAAAACCACCCAACAAGGGTAGTAAAGTGTGGGAACCCAACGTTGAGTAAAATCATATTTACCTACTGTTGGGTACAACTAGCTTACTTTTGGGTAGAAAGCGAGTGGAAAATTCCATAAGAATTGCACACAAGTAAATGAAAATTACTTTGACCCGCTTTACCTACTTTTGGGTTCCTGCACTGTAGTGCCGAGATGAGTGAAAAGAACTTAATTTTGGGTACTTTTTTCTAACCGTGTGAGAAACGTCTCTTGCAAGGTGCCTACACAGAAATTAAAAATTACCCAAATTAGAGTTCTTTTGACTCAACCTCGAAGTTCCGTACGAGAAGCTAATTTTGGGTAAACATGAAAAAACCTAATTTTGGGTAAATGATAGAAAAGACTGCAGTGGGTAAATTTAATCAATAAGAAAAAA